GAGAGAGAGAGGAGAGGGGGGGCCCGTAATCTAGACTCGCCACTGGAAAAAGGCACCCGCTAGGCATAACAACTAACATACGATCCCAACCTAACCTATTCTATTTAAGCGATGAAGAGAAAACGCCAATTGTTACGTTTCCATTTTGACTAACTCGTCGCATTTTGAACGGTATGGTCGTTACCGTAACAAAGGCGACGTATTACTCGAGTTGATGGGTTACAGGGAGATGTGGCGATGCAGTTTAATAATACAAGGCTGAACAACAACTTGGCATCATGTCGCTGTTGTCAAGGTGGACGACGAAGGACATTTGGAGGGTGAGAAAGTCCCGGAAGTTCACTCGGGTGACCAGCGACCTGATGGCCGTAGGGAAGATAGCAGCACAGCCAAGAGAGCAACACAGGCAAGATAGCAACACAGGCAAGATAGCAACACAGCCAAGAGAGCAACACAGGCAAGATAGCAACACAGGCAAGATAGCAACACAGGCAAGAGAGCAACACAGGCAAGATAGCAGCACAGGGAAGAGAGCAACACAGGCAAGATAGCAGCACAGCCAAGAGAGCAACACAGGCAAGATAGCAGCACAGGGAAGAGAGCAGCACAGGGAAGAGGGCAGTACAGGGAAGATAGCAGCACAGGGAAGATAGCAGCACAGGGAAGATAGCAGCACAGGGAAGAGAGCAGCACAGGGAAGAGAGCAGCACAGGGAAGATAGCAGCACAGGGAAGATCACAACACAGGCAAGATAGCAACACAGGCAAGATAGCAACACAGGCAAGATAGCAACACAGGCAAGAGAGCAACACAGGCAAGAGAGCAACACAGGCAAGAGAGCAACACAGGCAAGATCACAACACAGGCAAGATCACAACACAGGCAAGATCACAACACAGGCAAGAGAGCAACACAGGCAAGATCACAACACAAGCAAGATCACAACACAGGCAAGATAGCAACACAGGCAAGATCACAACACAGGCAAGAGAGCAACACAGGCAAGATAGCAACACAGGCAAGATCACAACACAGGCAAGATAGCAACACAGACAAGATAGCAACACAGGCAAGATCACAACACAGGCAAGATCACAACACAGGCAAGATAGCAACACAGGCAAGATCACAACACAGGCAAGATCACAACACAGGCAAGATCACAACACAGGCAAGATCACAACACAGGCAAGATCACAACACAGGCAAGAGAGCAACACAGGCAAGATAGCAACACAGGCAAGATCACAACACAGGCAAGATAGCAACACAGACAAGATAGCAACACAGGCAAGATCACAACACAGGCAAGATCACAACACAGGCAAGATAGCAACACAGGCAAGATCACAACACAGGCAAGATCACAACACAGGCAAGATCACAACACAGGCAAGATCACAACACAGGCAAGATCACAACACAGGCAAGATAGCAACACAGGCAAGATAGCAACACAGGCAAGATCACAACACAGGCAAGATCACAACACAGGCAAGATCACAACACAGGCAAGATCACAACACAGGCAAGATAGCAACAAAGGCAAGATAGCAACACAAACAAAAGAGTAAGACACAACACATGCTTCTTAAAGACGGAAGGAGACAATAATGAACAGACGTGAGACAAGTATGAGAGAAGGAGAGACATGAGGAAAAACAGTTAACTGGCGAAGGAAGCAAAAAGCAGATAGCGTGTCAACATTCAGAAGGAAATGAGACGAATGTAAGAGTGGCAGGAGAAGAGGGAGAAGATGCAGGTCCACTGAGAGTAGGGAAGACGTCTCAGAGTAAGGCAGACAAGGGACATGCGACACCTCTGCTAAGACAAACAACAGATCGCTGAGCAGGGAAGAGCAACAGGTCAGGTGTGTAGATTTGCAGTGAGACCTGTCCGGCATCCAGGAGAGCCGGGCCGCGGGGATGTTGAGCCCCGAAATCATCGCTAAGTAACCTCAAGGTAAGGTAGGAGACCTGTGTTAAAAACTCGCCACGTTCATATTATTTCATATGTGCGGCTTATTTATTTATCTGGTGTTAATTATAATTAATATATGAATCACTAGGAACCCTTTTTAGACCAGACCAGGACTCGAACCCCCGCCGTCCGGGGTCAACCTGTCGTACAGAGTACTGTAACCACTACTCCAATGATCGTCTAGTAGTAACAGTAACCTGTTCGCCAGGGGAAGATCCCATGCGGCATTCAAATCCTGGTTAAGTCAAAAGAGCTTTTAGTGATTAATGGCCGATTAGAGTCGAATAGAGTTATTCCCTAGCCTTATAGAACATGTGATGTAATCATGTCATTAAACACCTAAACCCACCACTATGGGTTTGCTTGTCTGCCTTGTGGTTACCTTACATTGGTTCCCAGGATCAATATCCTCTCAGGCCATTCTCTGACAGGCGTTCTGGTGGTGATCTGGTCAACCAGGCTGTTAGTAGCAGTCGCTCTCCCAGTCTTACATATCACTGCCCGTCTGATCAGGTATCCTTTGGAGGTGTTTATCAAGTTCTGTTTCGAATCATCGTGAGAGGCCGGCCAGTCATGCCCCTTATGTGTAGCGGGAGTGTTGACATGTCATGGGTTGGTAACATGGTGTATAAGAGGTGAAGGAGGGGCCCAGCGCGGTCCACAATGAAGGGACCCTCATGCGAGTTCTTCTCTTTATCTGATAAGTGGAGTGCACTATCAGGGAACGCTATTATGGTAGCCCTAACACGCTCACATAACAGCCTTCCTTGACCAGTACACACCACGTGGCTCCCGCTTCCTTCCTTGCATTGTCCTGGTCCTCCTGCCTGCCTTTCACACGTCCTGGCCCTCCTGCCTGCCTTTCACACGTCCTGGCCCTCCTGCCTGCCTTTCACACGTCCTGGCCCTCCTGCCTGCCTTTCACACATCCTGGCCCTCCTGCCTGCCTTTCACACGTCCTGGTCCTCCTGCCTGCCTTTCACACGTCCTGGCCCTCCTGCCTGCCTTTCACACATCCTGGCCCTCCTGCCTGCCTTTCACACGTCCTGGCCCTCCTGCCTGCCTTTCACACGTCCTGGCCCTCCTGCCTGCCTTTCACACGTCCTGGCCCTCCTGCCTGCCTTCCACACGTCCTGGTCCTCCTGCCTGCCTTTCACACGTCCTGGCCCTCCTGCCTGCCTTTCACACATCCTGGCCCTCCTGCCTGCCTTTCACACGTCCTGGCCCTCCTGCCTGCCTTTCACACATCCTGGCCCTCCTGCCTGCCTTTCACACGTCCTGGCCCTCCTGCCTGCCTTTCACACGTCCTGGCCCTCCTGCCTGCCTTTCACACGTCCTGGCCCTCCTGCCTGCCTTTCACACATCCTGGCCCTCCTGCCTGCCTTTCACACATCCTGGCCCTCCTGCCTGCCTTTCACACGTCCTGGCCCTCCTGCCTGCCTTTCACACATCCTGGCCCTCCTGCCTGCCTTTCACACGTCCTGGCCCTCCTGCCTGCCTTTCACACATCCTGGCCCTCCTGCCTGCCTTTCACACGTCCTGGCCCTCCTGCCTGCCTTTCACACGTCCTGGCCCTCCTGCCTGCCTTTCACACATCCTGGCCCTCCTGCCTGCCTTTCACACATCCTGGCCCTCCTGCCTGCCTTTCACACGTCCTGGCCCTCCTGCCTGCCTTTCACACGTCCTGGCCCTCCTGCCTGCCTTTCACACGTCCTGGCCCTCCTGCCTGCCTTTCACACGTCCTGGCCCTCCTGCCTGCCTTTCACACGTCCTGGCCCTCCTGCCTGCCTTTCACACGTCCTGGCCCTCCTGCCTGCCTTTCACACGTCCTGGCCCTCCTGCCTGCCTTTCACACGTCCTGACCCTCCTGCCTGCCTTCCACACGTCCTGGTCCTCCTGCCTGCCTTTCACACGTCCTGGCCCTCCTGCCTGCCTTTCACACGTCCTGGTCCTCCTGCCTGCCTTTCACACGTCCTGGCCCTCCTGCCTGCCTTTCACACGTCCTGGCCCTCCTGCCTGCCTTTCACACGTCCTGGCCCTCCTGCCTGCCTTTCACACGTCCTGGTCCTCCTGCCTGCCTTTCACACGTCCTGGTCCTCCTGCCTGCCTTTCACACGTCCTGGTCCTCCTGCCTGCCTTTGACACGTCCTGGCCCTCCTGCCTGCCTTTCACACGTCCTGGTCCTCCTGCCTGCCTTTCACACATCCTGGCCCTCCTGCCTGCCTTTCACACATCCTGGCCCTCCTGCCTGCCTTTCACACATCCTGGCCCTCCTGCCTGCCTTTCACACATCCTGGCCCTCCTGCCTGCCTTTCACACATCCTGGCCCTCCTGCTTGCCTTTCACACATCCTGTACATTCCAACAGGACGTAATTCCCTTCATTCAATTCCCTTCTGTAGCCAAGAAAGAGCCCGACCCCACCCTGTAAGGCAAGGTAATTTTCAGGAGAAACCACTAACCCGTTACGACTATATAGCTTAATGTTAAGACGGTAGACATACTCGATTATGAAGCATCAACGGTGCCCAGAACAAAACATGCCTATTCAATTCCTTTTAGTTATCATGAGGTTATCTTGAAATGATTTCGGGGCTTAGCGTCCCTGCGGCCCGGTCCTCGGCCAGGCCTCCTTTTTGTCACACATCCCCAGGAAGCCGCCAGTAGCAGCTGTTTAACTCATTAACCTAACATATTTAAGTGCTCAAAAACCATTGAAGAGCCCTTTGACAAAAACAGATGGCAATAACTATCGGCTAGTTCTGTTGGTATACTCCCGCCCTACTCCCAGTACGGGACTGGATGGAGCCTGAGACGGCCGTTGGGTTTGTTGCTAAATAATTTATCTGGCGCCCAGGAGGTTCACTGGCGCCCAGGAGGTCACTGGCGCCCAGGAGGTTCACTGGCGCCCAGGAGGTCACTGGCGCCCAGGAGGTTCACTGGCGCCCAGGAGGTTCACTGGCGCCCAGGAGGTTCACTGGCGCCCAGGAGGTCACTGGCGCCCAGGTCACTGGCGCCCAGATGGTTCACTGGCGCCCAGGAGGTCACTGGCGCCCAGATGGTTCACTGGCGCCCAGGAGGTCACTGGCGCCCAGGAGGTCACTGGCGCCCAGATGGTTCACTGGCGCCCAGGAGGTCACTGGCGCCCAGATGGTTCACTGGCGCCCAGGAGGTTCACTGGCGCCCAGATGGTTCACTGGCGCCCAGGAGGTTCACTGGCGCCCAGATGGTTCACTGGCGCCCAGGAGGTTCACTGGCGCCCAGATGGTTCACTGGCGCCCAGGAGGTTCACTGGCGCCCAGATGGTTCACTGGCGCCCAGGAGGTCACTGGCGCCCAGATGGTTCACTGGCGCCCAGGAGGTTCACTGGCGCCCAGGTGGTTCACTGGCGCCCAGGAGGTTCACTGGCGCCCAGGAGGTTCACTGGCGCCCAGATGGTTCACTGGCGCCCAGGAGGTCACTGGCGCCCAGATGGTTCACTGGCGCCCAGATGGTTCACTGGCGCCCAGGAGGTTCACTGGCGCCCAGGAGGTTCACTGGCGCCCAGATGGTTCACTGGCGCCCAGGAGGTTCACTGGCGCCCAGGAGGTTCACTGGCGCCCAGGAGGTTCACTGGCGCCCAGGAGGTTCACTGGCGCCCAGATGGTTCACTGGCGCCCAGGAGGTTCACTGGCGCCCAGGAGGTCACTGGCGCCCAGATGGTTCACTGGCGCCCAGATGGTTCACTGGCGCCCAGGAGGTTCACTGGCGCCCAGGAGGTCACTGGCGCCCAGATGGTTCACTGGCGCCCAGGAGGTCACTGGCGCCCAGGTCACTGGCGCCCAGGAGGTCACTGGCGCCCAGGAGGTCACTGGCGCCCAGATGGTTCACTGGCGCCCAGATGGTTCACTGGCGCCCAGGAGGTTCACTGGCGCCCAGGAGGTTCACTGGCGCCCAGGAGGTTCACTGGCGCCCAGATGGTTCACTGGCGCCCAGGAGGTCACTGGCGCCCAGATGGTTCACTGGCGCCCAGATGGTTCACTGGCGCCCAGGAGGTTCACTGGCGCCCAGGAGGTTCACTGGCGCCCAGATGGTTCACTGGCGCCCAGGAATATTGAGACCAGAGTTGTAGCCCAGGAACACGGCCAACTTGGAATTACATAATGCAGACCAGGTCGTGCCTTAATTAATGGAAGAAGTTTATAACTGGCCGTGGCAGTAGCAGTCAATTAGACGTGGAGAGCTGAGTAGTGGAGAGCTGAGTAGTGGAGAGCTGAGTAGTGGAGAGCTGAGTAGTGGAGAGCCGAGTAGTGGAGAGCCGAGTAGTGGAGAGCTGAGTGGTGGAGAGCTGAGTGGTGGAGAGCTGAGTGGTGGAGAGCTGAGTGGTGGAGAGCTGAGTAGTGGAGAGCCGAGTAGTGGAGAGCTGAGTGGTGGAGAGCTGAGTAATGGAGAGCCGAGTAGTGGAGAGCTGAGTGGTGGAGAGCCGAGTAGTGGAGAGCTGGCAGCGACACCAATAACAAGCCTCCGTGACATAGAGGACCTCGATTACGAAGTTTGTAACTAACAGCAAACGTAAACTGTCTTATATACTGTTGTGGGGCACTTCTTTAACCACTCGTCAAATACAAAGACTTAATACAGGTATATGTAATTGTGTGCGGATGTATGTATGTATTTTATTATATATATATATATATATATATATATATATATATATATATATATATATATATATATATATATATATATATATATATATATATATATATGTCGTACCTAGTAGCCAGAACGCACTTCTCAGCCTACTATGCAAGGCCCGATTTGCCTAATAAGCCAAGTTTTCATGAATTAATTGTTTTTTGACTACCTAACCTAACCTAACTTTTTCTGCTACCTAACCAAACCTAACCTATAAAGATAGGTTAGGTTAGGTTAGGTAGGGTTGGCTAGGTTCGGTCATATATCTATGCTAATTTTAACTCCAATAAAAAAAAATTGACCTCAAACATAATGAAATGGGTAGCTATATCATTTCATAAGAAAAAAATTAGAGAAAATATATTAATTCAGGAAAAATTGGCTTATATATATATATATGTCGTACCTAGTAGCCAGAACGCACTTTTTGGCCTACTATGCAAGGCCCGATTTGCCTAATAAGCCAAGTTTTCCTGAATTAATATATTTTCTCTAATCTTTTTCTTATGAAATGATAAAGCTACCCATTTCCTTATGTAAGAGGTCATTTTTTTTTATTGGAGTTAAAATTCACGTAGATATATGACCGAACCTAACCAACCCTACCTAACCTAACCTATCTTTATAGGTTAGGTTAGGTAGCCGAAAAAGTTAGGTTAGGTTGGGTAGTCGAAAAACAATTAATTCATGAAAACTTGGCTTATTAGGCAAATCGGACCATGCATAGTAGGCCGAGAAGTGCGTTCTTGCTACTAGGTACGACATTATATATATATATATATATATATATATATATATATATATATATATATATATATATATATATATATATATATATATATATATATTAAAAATTGTGTAACTAGCTTCATAAGATTGTTACTTGCTTAGCTGAATTATGGGGTTCAGTTCTAAACCTACTGTATGCCTCTGTAACCCTTTCCACCGCCGCCTGCGGGATCGGTATGGGGTGCAGAATAAATGATTAGCTCTTCTTACAGCTTGTAACGTTACCCTCAAATTCACGCTGTGTGCTGCCTAGTGCTGAGACTCCACCTCTGGTTGAAATTTTGTCGCCAGTCATCATATTTATACACACATATAGTTTACGATCTTGGTGCTATGGAACCAAGTTTCTCTAATATTTTCGAGATTATGATGAATCTCTCGCACGCAGTCCTGCGGGATGTTAGTAGGAACCAGCTAGGATGATAGTTGAGGTGGACCCCATCCATTGACGATGTCCAACTGACGGTTACGAGGCGGGCCCAGCAACTGAAGCTTATTTCTACCAATACAACTAGGTGGGTAGAGAGGCACACGCCCACCACTAGAGTGAGATGTGCATGGAAGACCTTGGTGAAGCCCACAGCCTCGGGTACGACCCACTGGCTGGTCAAGCAGGGAAGATAGTGTCAGCAATTTGATCAAGATTAATGACTAGTAACAGAAGGCTCTTGGCTTGCTCCTTGTCTCGCTAGATAAAACTCCCTCATAACATTTTCTTTAAGCGTCTCGACTTCGCCTTCTCCTCCTCCTCCTCCTCTCTTCCCTTCCTTTAACTACCTCTCTCTCTCTTCCTACTTCAAGATCCATTACTGTCATTCCCCCTCCTCCAGCTCTCTACACATCATCCCAAGCCTGTCCTTTGAAGCATATCAATCGTGTCAGTTCAGCAGCGCATATGGCAAACTTCCGTGCTACCTTCAGGAGTTTGAGTAAGGAATTATTTAAGACCGATTATTGAGTAAACTGCACCAGCCGTGGAACTCCCGCCTAACCAAGCATCGCTCACTCACTCATATCTGTCAGGAGAGGGTGTGTTATACTTGACTGACAGGCTGTTTGATCTATTGGCATACTCCAGCTCTCTAACCGAGATTTCTGTCATCGTGTTTCACTAGGGAGCTTTGAAAGTCTCTTTATCAGAGTAATCCATCCTTGGGAAAAGCTGCTACACCAAGAAGCGACAGTCATGAGGTATTTTCGGAGACCAGTCCGCAGGGATACGAACCCCGGAACCTCCTCAAAATAGACTCAAGGTAGTTAAGACTTTGTACTTCGCAGGAAGAAACAAATTATAGTAATGTAGTTAAGATTTTTCGGTTAATTCTTGAGACTTGCTTCACCTAGTAAAACATATCAAACCCAAATCAAATGTTGTTACTGCTGCAAAAGCAGCAGTAACAGCAGGTGTAACAAGAGAAGCAGCAAGTACAATAACAGTAGCAGGTGCAGCAACGAGCAGCAGCAGTAAAACCTGTAATCTGATGCAGCGTCACCACCACCACAACACCGTCACCTCCAACACAACAGCGTCACCTCCAACACAATAGCGTCACCGCCACCACCACAACACCGTCACCACCAACACAACAGCGTCACCACCACCACAACAGCGTCACCACCACCACCACAACAGCGTCACCACCACCACAACACCGTCACCTCCAACACAACAGCGTCACCACCAACACAACAGCGTCGCCACCACCACAACACCGTCACCTCCAACACAACAGCGTCACCACCAACACAACAGCGTCGCCACCACCACAACAGCGTCACCTCCAACACAACAGCGTCACCACCAACACAACAGCGTCGCCACCACCACAACACCGTCACCCCCAACACAACAGCGTCACCACCACCACAACACCGTCACCTCCAACACAACAGCGTCGCCACCAACACAACACCGTCACCACCACCACCACAACAGCGTCACCTCCAACACAACAGCGTCACCACCAACACAACAGCGTCACCACCAACACAACAGCGTCACCACCACCACAACACCGTCACCTCCAACACAACAGCGTCACCACCACCACAACACCGTCACCTCCAACACAACAGCGTCACCACCAACACAACAGCGTCACCACCAACACAACACCGTCACCATCAACACAACAGCGTCGCCACCAACACAACACCGTCACCAACACAACAGCGTCGCCACCAACACAACACCGTCACCATCAACACAACACCGTCACCATCAACACAACAGCGTCACCACCACCACAACACCGTCACCTCCAACACAACAGCGTCACCACCAACACAACAGCGTCACCACCAACACAACACCGTCACCATCAACACAACAGCGTCGCCACCAACACAACACCGTCACCATCAACACAACACCGTCACCATCAACACAACAGCGTCACCACCAACACAACACCGTCACCTCCAACACAACACCGTCACCATCAACACAACACCGTCACCACCACCACAACAGCGTCACCACCACCACAATACCGTCACCACCAACTATAGCCATGAGAGGACGGGGTATGCAATGTACCATTCACCCCAGCGCATGTCCAACTGGTCAGAGCCTGTTCACTGCCCCTCTCCACGACACCAGCATTAAGACGACTTAGCACTTGAGACGTCACCAGCACTAAGACGACTTAGCACTTAGACGTCACCAGCACTTAGACGACTTAGCACTCAGACGTCACCAGCACTTAGACGACTTAGCACTTAGACGACTTAGCACTTAGACGTCACCAGCACTTAGACGACTTAGCACTTAGACGTCACCAGCACTTAGACGACTTAGCACTTAGACGTCACCAGTATTTAGACGACTTAGCACTTAGACGTCACCAGCACTTAGACGACTTAGCACTTAGACGTCACCAGTATTTAGACGACTTAGCACTTAGACGTCACCAGCACTTAGACGACTTAGCACTTAGACGTCACCAGTATTTAGACGACTTAGCACTTAGACAAGGCCCTCGTCTAAGGTATTCTACAACCCCCCCCCCAAGGGGATTTTTTTATTAAGATATGAGGTACATCTGCATTAGCGCAGCTACCCTAGACTATATGAAGTGGAGTACAGTGTGTCAAAAAAAAGCTAACTAGGTGATGCTAAAAAATCCCCATCACACAGGATGGTTAGTCATACAGAGGCATGTGATGGGCAGTCTGCAATGGCAGACTCCGGATGCATTTTGAGGATATCATCAACACAAGATATAGGCCAAAAATTGTCATACTAGAAAATGAAAGCGGCTGGCGAATGTGACGTATTGTCCCGTTTTCTGTTTTTGGGTTCTCTGGCAGATTAGGAGAGGACACCTTATACTGACCGTTTTCTTGACGTTGAGAAACTCTGCGCACATCTATACCAGGTCTATACAGTATACCTAGGTCATAAAAGTATTTGTGTGTACGTCTGATACCATACTACTTGTGAAGGAGGAAATGTATATGTTTACCTCTCAGAATGTTTGGTAATATGTTTATTGTTTGTGATGTGTGTCTATGTATATATTAACACGTTGTACTGAATGGGGTGAGAATAGCTTGAGCTACCTCATCCCTTTGTGTGTATTTTACCTCAATAAACTTATTTCAATTTCAATTTCAATACCAGGTGAGTACGACGGGCTTACCATAGCCCATGCTGCTTAAAACGTTTTGTTCCT